TCAGGTGCAAAATAAACAAGAATACAAATGATGACGATTCACTTCGGTTGGTACTTCTGTCATCTATAGTCCTATTCCGGTATATGCTCCCCCTATATGGTTCCCAAATCTTTTTTGGGATCTCGGTCCTAAACCCTATATTGGGGTTCGCAGCGAGACGAAAGGAGAACAAGTACATTACATTGAAAAATATCAAACTAAACCATCAAGTCGAAATTGGAGCGTCCCACCACGTAACCGCTCTATTGACAAGTCTTACTATTTCCATAGTTCTGCTTTATGTGCTTCGGATTAGAAATTACGCTGCGTGCCAAAAAACGGACATTGGCCGTTCACCATTGGTATGCACGAGGATATGGCCATGTGTAGGCTCGTAAGCGAAATGATGCCACCAGCATTAGCAAGCGTGAACGCCGCACTAATATACAAGAGTTCGAACTGCTGTTTCTGACATAAGGATCGCGTGTGTCATAAGTGATAGGTCAACGGCTAAGCGTTCAAAGAATACAGTGTAGGAGCAGATAAGCTTGGAAACGGAACCTTCAAACTGTTGGATGTTCTATTAAGTCACTCATGATCTACAGACTAAATTCAGTAGCGGAGCCAGTCAAGGTATCTGAATATCCTAGCTTCGATCGTGCGTTTGTGCGGAGGACCGATAACTTGCTCGATAACAGGCTCGGCAACTTGATTTATGCCATATTTTTCGTGTCTTGGAGCAACACGACCTCAAAGGAACCGTGCAGTTGGGTGTCACGACGGGAAGGGGCCAGGCAACCCGCGTCGGAACGATTGATAGATGCGTGTCACAGACATGGTTTGTTACGCCTCCACTGATATGATCTAAAAGTATGGTCTTTTTAGCGTGGCCTTCCGTCAAGAAACTGACGATATATATGTGCGAACCCTCGTGTGAACAACTACACAGAAATGCTTATGTGCGATTGTGACGTACCGTGTCGGATACCGGGGATTTTATGTTCATCCTTCTGAGATGAAATTCCTTTGTGTTCCACTGGATATTAAATTACTTAGCCTCAGCTATAACACCACACATCACCTGGACCAGTGCTCTCCAACTATTGTCTTCATTGCCTGCACCCCTACAGCAAATCCAGCAGCATAAAAGAAAAACTCATGCGTCAAAGCGATTGCCTTCAATGCGTAGCCAATCCATTTACGAACAGACTGAACGCGAATTCGCCTCCACGGCTTGATTGCATACCCCACACTTCCGTTTTCCGGTGATCCAAACTATAGCAGCTGGGACCAATGTGCCTACAGTACACGGTTTATAGCTGATAAATTGAATTGAATTCTCATCACCCGAAACAAAAGCTACCAACGCCCAGTTCGTCCTTGATGACATATTGAAACAAAGGCTGACCATAGTGGCCGCTAGCTTCACTTTGATGACAGGGTTTTTGACTTGAATTATGTTCATGATGCAGTCTATTGCATACCCTTCCGTTTTCCGGTGATCCAAACTATAGCAGCTGGGACCAATGTGCCTACAGTACACGGTTTATAGCTGATAAATTGAATTGAATTCTCATCACCCGAAACAAAAGCTACCAACGCCCAGTTCGTCCTTGATGACATATTGAAACAAAGGCTGACCATAGTGGCCGCTAGCTTCACTTTGATGACAGGGTTTTTGACTTGAATTATGTTCATGATGCAGTCTTGGTGAGGGCTGACCCCATGAAGTGTAGTCAATGCTTTACCACAAAGAAAGGTTTTGGCTTATATTTTTTATCTCTTAGGCGTGAAGAATTTTCAAAAAATTGACTTTCGGTATCGCCATCACCAATCCTTGCCGGTGGACAACTGCGGTCTGCGGCGTGCTATTTCTAACTGGGGAGCACACTTTCAGCCATGGGAGGCATTCGATCGGAAATTGCGCCCAAATCGCAAGGGCAAGAGCAGAGTTTTCCTGTATTTGGCACATTTAGTGACGTCGCGACGTCAATCCTTTTCACAAAGAACGAGTACACTGTACATCGTACAGGGTAGTGTTGCTGCGCGGGACATCTGTGACTGTTTCATGATCATCATCTACGAAGTTTCGCGCGTTGTGACAACAAGGAAACGGAACTCCAAAATGTGATGCTTCCCTAACGGCTTCGAAGGAGCGATCAAAATTTGAGAAGGTCACAACAACGACTACCAACTGGTGCACCATTTTACAGGACATAAACTGAAGAAGCATCGTAGAGAAGAATAACAGAGGAAAATGGCAAGTTTAGCCTCGACTTCTCGATTGGAGTGTAAAAGGTAGTGACTATCTATGGGTTGACTTTTGTAAACATGATACAGGACCAAACTCATGGCGTTCTTATTGCCATTATGAACATTCACTGATCTGCTTTCTCACCTTTCCGACATTTGAAATTGTGTGTCGGTTACTTGTCTGGCACAGTGTCCCTCATGTGACAAGTAACTGAACTAACCAAGTATTTGACCAACTAAATCTCCCTACAAACTACAACTTTCCATCATCTCCAGGTGGCCGGATTATACTAGCCAGTAAAAGCGGATTGCGCAACACGTGACAGCTATCCAGCACGTGTGAAGGGAAGCCGGTAGTGAGTATCCCCAAAATCCACCAGTGAGGTGCAAATACTTCGAGTACTAATCGAGCCTGTCTAACCATTCAGTTAGTGTTATTAGGAAAATGCAAATGACCATAGGAAACTGAGCATTCGCAACTTCATATCGCATATTCTGTTTTCCCCTCCAGCTAATCCAGTAATGAAGCAGGTGTTAGACGTCTCAACATAAGTTGATACGAAGGTGAATAACGTGACGTCGCACATGATGCAAATGACAGGTGCATGGTGAAGACTTAATTCAAGCTACAACAGCGTATTGGCACATTGGTATGCAGGTCATCTGCCAACTGTGGTTCGTTAAAAGTTTTCTGTTTGAACACCATTTGTTCCTATTCCGGTTGCTACCCACACGATTCCACCCTGTAACCATCCAACAACCTAACCGAATTTGATCGATTGCACCATAGTGCCGTCGGAAGAGGTCCAGGTAAAACAAACACACAGCTGTGCCTTGCTGTCAAACCACTGTGGGAAACGGGCGTGACTTTGGCGAGAAATTTCACCTCATGTCATGTTTGTTGCCACTGAGCCCACAACCGTTACAACTAATCATGACCTGAACTCCTACTCGACGGTTAGTTGATTCGTAAAGCGGCAATTGGAATCCAGGAGATCTCTCGACAAAACTCCTTCGACACGGATGTCAACGCCTCAACATTGATCTAGGGATGATATGATGTAGACCCTAGAAGTACTGACAAGAGTGTGCGAAACCTCATTTTCCATGACAGAGTGAGCACAACTGAGGACATCTTAAAGTACATTGATTCATTTTCAAATCCCTGTAGACAATCGAATTCTTGTGATACCAGCTTAAGAAGTTCACCGAAACATATCATAGAAAATATTCCAAAAGGAGAAAAGGTGTAGTATCTGTCAACTTGCAGTTGCCAAATTGAGACATCCAAAAGCCTGAACAGCCGAGGGTTTGGAGTGTCATGAGTCAGAAATGGCGCCCAAAAAGACTTGTCACAATGCGCATATCATATGAATATTGACGGTTGAAACCTACTTGCACAGATCTGAAGGGAAAGTGCTGAGCCATATCCAACAAATTTGCTTAAAAAATCATTTAAAAAGCTAAGATATTCACTCATGGCCCACTAGTTTCAGTCCGTCGAAACGGAAGCAAGAGGGCAGTACGGCTTAGTTCCAAGAATGTTGACTGTTATACGCAAGGGTGAACTGTCAACAACATCCTCAAAATATATTACATTCGCGAATTATTGTTAAAACAGGAATTCAGTCCCCCCCCCAGCTGGGTGACAAAGCCGCTCCCTCAAGCTGACGTGATGTCACGAACACGGAATTGTCGGTTTGGAGAAGAATGGTTATTTATTGCACCGCGCTTTACTAAACCGTTCAGGCGGTAAGATTAATTGATGAAAATGGAAACGCAGCTTCCCAAGTATAGTGTTTGGGCGAGGAGAGCAAACTTTACAAGACCACTAAGTAGTGGTTCTGTAAAATTAGTCTTAAACGTGGTTCAAAGTGTGGAATCAAAGGACGTCAGTTTTCTCATACCAGGTGCGTTCACAACATTAGAGATATGGTTGTCTAGCACAATATTCACAAAGCCAAGTCAAAGCACGAAGAGGCAGGGACGGAAATGTCGTTTCTCACAGAAACGTTCGGGAAAGTTTGATGGACTGGAGGTAACAACTGAATAGGCGATCGAACCACTGGACGAAAACTAAGACAAACAGTCCATTCGTGACACCTATTTGGTTTACAGTTGCACGCAAGCCAAAGGAATCGCGAGAATTAAGAAAACACCGGGTTCCTTAAGTTAAAAAAGGACCAAGAATATCATTTCACATCTCAACCCCTGGGCTTTCCCATCTTCTCTAAAACATGAAAGTAATCAAAAGGATATCAATTCTTCACCCGACAAACAAGAGCGACGTCCAAAAAAAGCATTCAGCAATAGAGACAAGAAGTGCTTACGTTGAGAATTCGTAATTCACTGTGATATATGCGGAGAAGTTCGTTGACTGTTGTGCTCACTTCCCCAATCAGTGCCTCTCTGTAAACAGACAGTAAACACATTAGGTTGAGTTAAGGAAGCAACACTCTGAAGAAGAGTACTGTTCAATGAAATGGAAACGAAGAGAGATCCTTCTGTGAGTACAATCACCGGTTGTAGAACATATGACGATGGGAAAGGTGAAAAGCGAGGGAATAGAAAGCGAATGAAAAGACAGTAAAGAAAACCAGCACCATGACACTAAAGCTTCACTAGTTGCATACGGAAGCCAAAAATCAGTCTCATCCCTAACTACTATGAGGAGCGAGTTCAGTCGGATATGAAAACTTTGAAACTGCAAGCGTATGTATGAGGTTTTGGGTTGCTGAAGTATATGAAAGTAGATAGTTTAGGATGGTGGACTCAGAAAACAAATTAAAACAATTATATACTTCGTAAGCGGTTGGTAATGAGAGGATCAACACAGTATCGCAGCTGGCTCCGTGACATCGCCATGTCGCTGAGCAACTCCAACAATTCAAGGGGAAAGCCTCTCGTATCAGGTGACAGACAAACGTGAATCGAAAAACCCGCTATTATATTTTAGTGAGGCATCGTCAAGTTGTGCGCAACTAGCCAGATGGTACCCTCCAGTCAGAACCCGTCTCCGCAAACACTGCACGATTAGACAGTCGACTATCTGGCATACGACACACATTATCCAGCCGTGCGACTATCAGAAAGGATTCATCAACAAAAATATCTTAGATCTCAAGTGTACTTGATCTCACCAAACTTGCCCACAACTAAATTGTCGTAGCACTCACAAACGAGCACAGACCAACGAAATCTACCAGTGGCACCCAAAGTGAGTTATCAATTGAAGCACCCTGGACTAAGGAAACTAGCCTGATCAGAAATAAATTGAAATTCCTCCAAACCCATCAACCGTAAAATTTAGGCAAACACACTGACCAACAAGACCCTTTAAATGACATTCAACACTGATCTAGTGCGCTAGTCCGAAGAGTTCCTGCTGATTGTTCCTTCGTCTGTCTTAAAATTTGGCCAATTGGGTAACCTGCCCACTCGAACAGGGGAGGCTTCTGTGTTGAGAAGTACCCAATTAAAAACTACCGACTGTTTACCAAGACTTTCTAAAAAGATAACTTCTCAATCGATTCCAAACTCTTTCTATTTGATTGAAGACCAAAAGCTACCTGAACAACTACCACTCGAGTTACCAATTTTTCAACCCATTACCAACCGCCAAATACGCGTATACTGAAGGCAATAACCAAATTTACGAAAAACTTGCGAGTTCGAAGAGAACTAAACCATAAACGACGATCGCAGGGGGTCGTAGTGAATACCTTCCCTCCTATGCTCCCACAAGCTGGTATCAGTGATAACTGATGCAGAAGCGAAAGCATTCCTACTGATTTCCGCCTGATACTATGGCTGACCACCTGAGTGCCGTTAACAGTATGACTCAATGAAACTGCCGATGGGCATCTGGGAGTATACAGCATACCAAACAAATGTACCATCTATATATAATATTAGAGAAAGCCCTGAACCCAACCAGAATTCCAGTCCCATTGCTTGACTTCACGAAAGCCTTTGTATCAGCAAATCAAGAGACATTATGGATCGTTCTTCCGAAAGTTGGCCGCCCAACCAACTCTGTGAATCTTATCAAGTCTCTGTATTTTGGCGTGGACCTTAGTGTTCGAACTTGTGGAACTACGTCTGCGAATCTCAACATTGACACGAAGCTGAAACATGACAGCATTACGACAACATTGTTACTCAGCTTGTACCCAAATGCAGTATGCGTACAGGTTTTTGAAATTTAGAACATGGTGTAGCTATTCACTATCGTCTAGATGGTTACCTATTCAATTCAAAACGCTTCCTAGCGAAATGAATCCTACGTGACTTGAGGGTTTGTACGTTACCTTCGTTGACAACTGCGATCTACGGGAACATTCTAAAACTGGTTTGAATCGTCCCATGGCATCATTCGCGCCGGTAGCCTTCCGCTTTGGGTAGTACGTATGTATTTCTAAAACCATGTATTCTATCAACTCGCATTTCGAGAATCAGCGAGTTTTAACACTCGAACGTGAACAATCTAGTCAAAAGTGATTCGAGACCAGCGTAACCCCACCAATACCGGTAAACTTCCGTAGCTGCACAACCTGTGGACGCGGGAACATAAGCGAAATAGGACATGCGAAACGCTGGAGCTCCCATACTGTAGCAATCGCAAAGCATTGACGGGCATGCTGGGGGTAAGTTCGTTCCGGCTCCGAATAGATGGAACGATTTATGTATTGGAAGCTAGTCAATTCGTCCTGGGCAGCCCCCAGAAAGTATCGTAGGCCACTGTGCAGTATTATACTGAAAAGCAGAACTGACAGATGACACGTCCACGCAACGCTAGCACTCACTGTGACACCGGTATGCATAGATCGGCTGATAGCTGTCAACCCGCCTTGACGAGTTCGCCTGCCGACAACATTTCTTTGAATTTACAGGCTCACCCACGGTAATAAACCAGGGTACGTGAAAACTATTTGTTTTCATAAATATATATATATATATAATATATATAATATATATATAATATAATTGTGCGTAGCGGTGGGTTAGTGGTTCGCACAACTACGCACTGATGATGTCACCTCGATTGGTGATGAAATGTTTGCAACCAAATTGCCCAGCTCAGCGAACAAGCCAGCGACCATCTACGCTACCTGAGCTACCGACATTCTCCTCTATAAAAAATATAATATAAATAAATATTTTCAGGTATCCAGCAGTCCAACCATTGTTGATAGACAAGTTCACATCGAATGTAAGCCAACCACATATATATATATTATATATATATATACATATATATATATATACTACGCCAGAATGCACTATGAACCGGGCCCAATGTTGCATCTCAAAGTGAACCAGAGTGGTGGTATACTCCAAAACTTTCCTTGATTTCTGAATATTTGAATCTCACCCAATTCTCACAGATATACATCTAACATATGAATAAAATAGTAAGCAGACATGGCAATGAAAGCTTCAGCAAGCAGGGATTGTAGGAAGAAGTGAGTACTGGATTTAGCTTTGCTAAACACCCGAGATTCTAAAACGGTATATGACGAAATAATTCATGGACTACTGGCAAAACAGAAATTAGATTCGGGAAAGCGGTAGTGGCCAATCTGATGAAAGACAAGAATTGAAATAAGTAAGCCACTTTTTTCTTCAGCTACCTACGGTAAAGAACGACTTGCTTAAATTTTCAGCGACAAACGTTCTGGTGTAAAAAGTTGACAGTCAATAGCTGACATTGGAGAAGAATATAAAGGAAAAGGTCAATCGATCGATCGATCAATCAAGGTCGATTCTCCCACAGTCAAGTTCTGACGATGAACATGTTCTACAGGAAAATCGTATCATTCCAGCGACAACAAACAACATACTTATTTTTGCTGCAGATCGCTTCTTCGAACGATACGGAAATTCCAAATGTAGCACGCTAAGTAGAATGGCGTGTAAACCCAATCAATCCCGAATCGACCCTAAAAATATACTGTTCTATGGAATGCTATAGATGCCGAAAAACAGGAAATTCAATCTATCGCTTTGTACGCACCCACGCACCTACCACAGCACATGCATATTTATGGTCATCACGAAAAGTGAAAGCGAATGACCGCCGGAATTCACACATACACGTCACGAGTGTGGGTAGTCACTTTAGCCAAGCTATATATTTACGGTCAGAATGGGCAGTAAAAGACGACCAAGGATTCAACAATTTCCCAAACGTATTGATGCCTTACCTCCCACTCCGATTCCAGTCCAAACAGGAGATTATGAGTTGCCTGTGGATTGGGGGAAAGAGAAGTGCAAAGTAACTGGGCGCTTCCGACAAATCAGGATAAAACTCGAAAGTCTATAGTCTGTTGGTGGATGAAATAGGAGGTTTGCATCGTCTTATAGTTGCCCTCAGTCGTGAGTGGTGTGCATTATGAGTAAAGTATGCAAAAAGGAATTCAGCAGGTATTCTGTGGACAATCGGTCGTCTTTAAAACACTACTTTTCGTCTTTCCAACTCGTTCTCCTCTACGAATCGCAGATTCGCTCCGATATGGCACGTTACTTCAACACTTTGGGTGGCGCTTCCTCTAGATAGTCTCTCAAAATGCTCTGCATCTCATTGACTCACTTTCTTCGACTGATAATCTGCTAATCCATTCCTGCCATTCGGTAGGTTAGTTTCAAAAGAATTTTTGAAAAACATGGATTCATACACCCACATTTAACATCGACTTAGCAAGCGGATGAGATGTGGTAATATGTTCCTGCTGTACGAACAATGAACGGAGGGGAATCGATGTCATCCCCGGTTCCTCAAAGGGGTTTGGAGCATTAAGAGGGGATTTGGCATTTCAATCACAAGTCAATATCCTGCAAACCGGTCCAACTGAGCGCTCAGAAACTTGGGCATAAACAGAATTTGGACGGTACAACCATAGTTTTCTAATGAGAGAAGGGACGATATGCGAAAATAAAGTTGATAAACCAAAGATTAGGGAAGAAGACCAAATCAAACACAGACAACTGATCCCCAAAGCAATCGGAGAAAAAGTGGTATAAAGCCAAGATCTCATCATCATCATTGATAGTAATGCACCAGTAATACAAACTGGAGCTTGACTGTAAAACAATCACCACGGGAGGGAGCCATAGTAAAATTGCGAAGCAAAGAAGAGGGATTTATTGTGAAGCCTTATGTCCTTGAGGAAGACGATCGAGGATAAGGTATTAAAGTAAGCACATCTGAGCGTCACATCGAAGTAGCATGCCACCAGCGGGATAGATTCAGCGCTATTTGCGAACCTCACCAGACCTAAGCCCAGAGCACAAACGTTAGTTGGACAGTCCGGCTAGGAACTGACAGCATGCGCGCCACTGGAATCGGATGCGTTCAACGTCCTGCAGGGTTACCAAACTCTAGGAGCAGAGTCGCTCAAAATGTGCTG